GCGGCCCAGATTAACCTTTTCTAGCGTCTAATACAGTGTCTGTACTTCTCCTTAAGGCATTAGCCTGTATGCTGATGTAGCGTAGTTGGTTAAGGCACTACGCTACAAGCCGGATGGTTGCAGGCCCGAGTCTCGATGAGGTGCATTTCTTAATTGACCTAACCCTTCCAGCCGCAGTGTGGCCCTGGGGTCGACTTAGCCTGTAACAGAAATGAGCACCAGGAATCTGCCTGGGGGGTAAAGCGCGGCCGGCGCGTAAGGCTGACAACCTCACTGCCATCTGTGAGCTGATTGTCTAGAAAATGTGGGAGCCTCGACGTCTCATAACCCTATGGGCCTCCGCGGCCTGTTACAGGGATAGCTTTGCCTTTTAGTGATGTTTCCATTCGCAATGTACATGAAACAGACTGTACTGTGTGAAATAGGCAAAGGTGTCGATGGAGCGCCAAGTGTTTGGGGTGTGGGTGAGAGTACCCTGCATTAGAGATTTTGGATCCTGTATCTACGAGGACCTGTGTAACTATGGCTACGATGAAGATACGTCATGTCCTGCGTCCTTTGTTCAAGATCGTGTCCCCTGCCGTTGTCCTGTTGAAAAGGTTAGAAACTTCGTTAAACTTAATTATCTGTTGTTCAGATCAGTGTCTGGTGGTTTGCCTGAATTACGAATTGTATTTCTTGCAGGGGCTGTACAAGATTCCTAGCGACGTGAGAATATCTGCGGATGGCAACCACTGGGCAGGCCTCGTTAGTGGAAAATACAGGGCCACAGCGACGTTCACACACAATAAGTACGAAATGGCCTGCTACACCGCCTCGTTTACTCTCAAAGCAGTCCCAAAGTAAATCACTGCAATTAGCACTGTAAGACTCACATGTAAATGCAAAACGCAGTCACTGAAATAAACGTGATTTAGTAATCCATACTCTAAAACGTAAATTTAACTACACGTGTATACTGACTGCCTCTTCAGATCAACCAGTTCCTTGTGTGTATGTGTGTGTAAATGGGATCCATAACCGGACTCAATCAGGCAAAAGGATTTATATCAGGACCCTCTGCCAAGAGAACAAGGGACCTGTTGAAATTAAACAGAGGTCAACTCACATGGGCGGTAGGATTACTTACTGGACACTGCCACCTAAAAGGACACCTTTCCAAACTGGGACTGACAGAGGACCCAATTTGTGAAATGTGCCTACAAGAAGATGAATCAGTCACACACGTCACATGTGATTGTGAGGCTGTAGCTTTAATAAGATATCGTCACCTGGGTCAATTCTTCATGGAACCAGGTGACTTTTATGACGCCCCCATATTTCATTTGAAGTGTAGGATTAATAAAGGGTTAATCCAAAGGGAAAGCACAATAGATCATTGAAGGTCACAGTGCAAGGGCCGGTTTTCATGGCTCACCCCTCATACTCATAATACATACCCATGTGTATGTGAAACTGTCTCGTAATGCAACCGTTTAATTGTGGAACATTCTTTTACCTACCCAGTTCATGTTTCATATGTGTTTACGGCAGGTTTCAGCGTGTACGGCCATCTATAAGTATACAAGTATGTCTGGAGGCGATTTGCCACTGCATAAGTATCACTTTTCACTTATACGAAAATATAAAGTATGAAAGCTGTACACTGGGATCCAGGCGTTAATTTCCTCGAAACCGGTAATACCGGTCAGACGGATTTAGTTTTTGTTCGGTATTCAGCGACCAACAGTGGTCTTGCTGGCAACAATCGACTTCGTCTTCAAGGTATATATAGTGAGGGTCATTCATACGTGAGGAACTGAGTACAATGTCTTTGCAGCGATATTTTTATTTTGCGAAGGTGAGTATGTCCTTGATGATTTTTCGAAATTTCATTTTATTAGCTTGTGTAGATATTTGAGTCAGTTTTTATTTCCGTAGAGCAGTGTAGGTGGGGAGCCGGGATAGCTCAGTAGGTACAGCGACTGGCTACCGGCTCTGGGGTCCACCCAGCCTCTTATCTAATGAGTACGTGGGGCTCTTTCCCCCGGGGGTAAAGAGGCCGGGACGTGAAGCTGACCACTCACTTCCAGCTAGTGCCGAGGTCAAGAAAATATGGATCTATATATTTACTAGCCGGTCACGGTAGCCGAGCGGTCCAAGGCATGCACTGTTTTCGCTTACTCGGAAGCCGAGATCTTGGGTTCGAATCCCACTCAGGGCATGGATGTTTGTGTGCGTTTTTCTGTGTTTGTGTACAGGTAGAGGCCTTGCGACGAGCTGATCACCCGCCCAAGGAGTCCTCCCGAATGTGTAAGATCTAGAAAAACCGAAGTGAACGGAGAAGTTCATGGAGGTAGGGCGAGGCCCACTGGGGCTGTAGTGCCAAGGAAAAAAAAAGAAATATATTTACTCCACCATACGCCTTCATGGCGTAGTGCTTAATTAGTTAAGCACAGGGACAATTTTACCTTACAGCAATGTAGGTACTGCCATTACTCCGTAAAATTTTAATTCAATTTACTTCCTTACTTTTAAAATCATTAGTCATGTACTATTTATACATTAAAAAGCTATATATTTTTCTGTTCAAGTCGTCACAATATTAAAGTGTTACATATTTAAGTGTCTGGCATAGAATATTGCCAAAAGGAGAAATTTGTTAAAATACTCTCTTCATGTTAGTGGGACTTTTCGCCGGGAGATGGAGCAGGCGGCGGGACACCATACAATGTCGCTATCTTCTGGAAGGAATGAAAATCATTTCCACAAAGGACGGCATGCTTGTATCGAGCAAGCTGCTCGCTACCACACATGATACATTGAAAAGATCTTTTGAAGATTACTTACCAATTCTCTGTCTTCTGTGATGAGGCGCCATGTTGTTCAGTAGATATTTACGGCCATTTTGCAGGAACCATCTACAGGGTAGAAAACCCTTCTACCCTGAAAACGGAGACAGCAAGTTCCTTCGAAACCCTCTACCTTGAAGATGTGGGGAACTCCAGGGTACCCAGCAGACGATAACGCTCATAGTCACTGCTGAGAAAAGCGCATAGCTCACTTGTTTTAACTATGGTCATGTGTCCTGAATGACAGACAACGGGGAAGCGGAGAATAATAAAAAGAGAAGCGACAAGAAACCTCCCACGTGTGGTTACCAAACTATGCTTAAAAAACCACCAGCCATGCATGTTTCCGGTCCATCTCACACTATGTCATTTATCTTCAGCTTGAGTACTACAAATCTCGAAGCCAGAGGCTAAAGTAATCTTTTCCATACCTTACCAGTTCTCCTGTAGTTTACCCCGTAACTCAAGAGCTGTTACATTATACTCTCGACTTCAGAAAGTTTTATGAATACGCTGAACATGTTGTGTGTAGTTGCGAAATCCTAATCGACCTGCTGACTTAAGTAAGAAACTAAGTAACAACCCCTGTGTGGCAAGGCCTAGCTCATAGTCACCCCAGTGGCGAACAAGTCCCCTGCCTTTCGTGGAACCCAAAAGTTCATTACCGTATTCACAAGAGCCCGCTACCGTCCCTTATCCTGAACTAGATTAATCCAGGGCCACTCATCCCCACCCTACTCCTTTAAGATGTTTTAAAATTATCCTTCCATCTACGTCCAGCTCTTCCAAATAGACTTTGCTTTTAGGGGTTTTCTACTGAACCACATATTGAAATGGAGGCACGCTATAGCGTAGTTGGATGAGACAATATGCTGCAAGCCGGAAGGTTGATGGTTCGAGTCCCGATGAAGTGGATTTTTTTTTCCCCAATTTACCTAATCTTACCAGCCGCACTATGGCCTTGAGGTTTACTCAGCCTCTAACATAAATGAGTACCAGGAATCTCACTGCCATCTGTGAGCCGACTGTGTAGAAAATGTGGGAGCCTCGACGTCTCATAAACCTATGGGCCTTCATGGCCTGTAACAAAGATAAGTTCACCTTTAGCATATATTGAAATGATATTCAGTTAGTTTGGGAAATGCTTCCAACAATTCGGTTCAGATTATTATACGTGTATTCTCGAGACGTCTCTAAGAATTTGCGTCTATGTGGCATGGTGTTTAAGAACAGGGAAAAGCTGACCGTTACCTTTTCAATGTTACTCGCTATCTTACGTGGGTGTGAAAGTTGGCGTTTGAAACCAGAGTTCTAAGAAAGATATTTCGGTCTAAGAAGAATAAAGTGCTAAATGACTGGAGGAAGTGGCATAATGGGCTGCTTCATAATTTCTACTCTTGAAATAAATTGTTTAGGCGATGAAAAAAGACGAGCTGAATGGGATATGTATCACATGCTAGAAAACTGTAAAATGCATACAAAATTCTAGCTAGGAAAGCTGAAGAGAGGAGACCATTTGGAAGATACATGAATAGCAGATTGGTATAAAAACTGGCCTTATACACACCCAATGTCAGGATAGAACAGGATGAAACTGGCTCGAGGTAACAGTGGGATTTTATGAATTCGACAAATGTTTTACGTGAGCCACCAATCAGATAGGACTTGAGCACGGAAGTTGAAGAATCTGTATTGTTAGAAGTCGCTAACAGGAAATGACTCGTGGAGATTAATAAGCTGAGAGCACTAGTCCTTGTGCTGTAGTCATTTGTAAAGTGTGGTGATCAGCGATGTGGCTATAATTAATCGTAATTACCAACTTTGTGTTAAAGTGGTCAAGAAGATGTATGATTTGGTGTCCCGGTTATCAGATTGAGAAATCATGGCTTTTGTTGAAAGAGAAGAACAAATTTTCCCCTTGGATTTGTATTAAAGAAGGTGGGTGTCTTCTGCGGTGCGCACACCTGATTTTGGTTTCAAAAACATTTGTCAAAACCCAAGTTTCCGTTGACGTAATGCATAATAACAGGGAAGGGCATAAGCAATATCATTATCGCGTACTTTTTCCAATTTTGTTTCAATATCGAGTGTACTGGAATATGAAAAAAGACATTAATAGAGACCTCTAAGTTATATTAAAAAGTTTTATATTTATTTCTCTTTGTGAGCATCTCCGTTTTCTTTAATGAAGCTGAAACATCCCGCTTCAAGGGGAATTCCAATTGGAATTACAATTCATCTCCAAATGATAACATCACTCATCCCCTTCTAAAAAGAAGTGAAGGGGATCCAGATTTGTGAAAGTCTTAGGGATCTCTGTTTATTAAAATTACAGCGTTTTGTGTACTTGATATAAACGCCGATTCGCCAAGCCTGAAATGACTGAATTAAGAAAAGATTCCAACGAAGCTTTCAATTTACCGTAGCGAGAATTTCTTGAAACAGGTTACGGTCGATGCTTAACTCATTCTTACCAATTCATAAACATAAATATTCTTTATTCTTATTGAAACCGACAAAACATTTGCAACTGAAAACGTATTCCTTATAACGACAGAGGAAAGAACGCACAAAGAGGTTTCCAGCTCCTCTGCTATGGGGTTAGAAGGGGTGCAAAGGGAAATAGGTACGTCGCGCCATATCTCCGGCGGCCATAGCTCCAACTGCCTCGGCCCGAGTTCGATCCCAGGTTAAATCATGTGTGATTTGTGGTGGACAAAGTGTCACTGCAGCCAATTCTTATTCCGCTAAGTGTCCCATATTCATCTATCATCCGGGGCTGGTACAATAGGCCAATTGGTGCCCGATGTACCAAGTAGGCCCCCCACAAAAAAAAAAAAAAAAAAAAAAAAACAGAATGGAAAGGTACGAAGGTAGGAACACTTTCTCCACTGCCAATGCTTACTAAAGTTCAGTAATATGGATGATTACTGCTGCTTGATCCCCAGAAAATTGTTCTAAACTCTTCTCTACACAATCACGCGCAAAATATAAGACAATTTATATCTGAACTAAACCCATGGGTTTCTAGCAGGAAGATAAAGTTTGTCTCATGCCGTAATCTGATTATACGTCGTCATTTGAGAAATGAGAGGTGGGGGAAAAAGATCTAAA